GTACAAAACAAATACAAAATAAAGTATAAATATAAATAAAAATCCATTACTTTAAAACAAAAAGAATAAACACAACACAATGCATAGTAAAAATTTAGCCGGTACTAGGAGTAAATTCGGGCCGGTACTTACTGAGTGGCAGCCTCAACCACAATCGGTCGATGAAGTGTTAACATCTTTTCAATCATAAATTTCTTTTCGATTAAAGACGGTAGGATACTGCTATTAGAACAATTATTCACATTTTAAATATTAAGTTTGTAAAAATTTCAGTATTTATTTTTCAATCGCTTGTAATTACTATAAATAACATAAAATTTTCTTTCATGGATTCATCATCTAGTGCACTTTTTAACTTTAATTTTTTGTAAAAAAATTTTGACACTTCACTTTTACATTTTGATTTAATTTCGAACTTTCTTTTGCTTTTAAATTTAAAAAACTTTTTAACTTTTTCTTTTTTGTATAACCGTTTCGATATTTCATTTTTAGATTTTTGGTTTAACTTCGAAACCAATTTTGCTATTTCATACAGAAATCTTTTTCAATTTAAGTTTTATGTATAGCAATTTTGATATTATATTTTTAATTATTGATTACATATATACAACACTGCGAATATTTATAAAAGCTTTTCAAACGTTACTAATATGCTATTAATTGATGATTCACAATCGTTATTAGTGATATAAAATTTTTAATAATTGATTTTTAAATAATAATTTTCATTTTACTTTAGTTGTTGAAATAATAAGTTAAATTAAAATATCTCCAATACGCACAAGAAAAAAAATGACTAGCCTCAAATAACTTCAAGCTAACAATTTTTTTACTTCCGTTCTTTTATTCTTCGTGTTTCTATGAAATAATTTAAAAAAAAACTTGTATACATTTTTTTTCCAATATGAATTTTTATAAAAATATTTTACATTTAAATTTATATGAAATTATTTTAAAATTAAATTTAGTACATTCATGATTTACTACTTACACCTTATAAATTTTACTACCAGACCGATTACTTTTCCCAACTAGTTTTAGTAGTGAGAACTTTTTTTTTACGATTTCTTACCACTTAAAAAGACCTGTTGGATTATTTATTTATTATAGAATGTAATATACCTTAATATACCAAGTTTTCGCAAAAAGTCATACGAATGCGAAATTCATATCATAGTTCTATCGGAAAATTGGTTAAAGAGAGAAGAAAACAAGTTTTTAATTTGCTTGGCTGCGACGCTTTTTTTTCGGATAGGGCTCCTTCCTATGGGGAAGGAGCAATACAGTCGAGTAATTGTAGTAGGTGGTTTTAATATTAATTTATTAGATATAATTCAAATTATGTTAGGGACCTTTCGAAAATGTTGATGGGTAATGGCTTCGATTTGATGAACAGGATCTTGGAGACGTATGCTACAAGGATTGGTATTAGCCCCGCTACCGGCGAAATTACGAGGATAATAATTGATCATTTCATCACGGATCCGGTTAATTTGTCCTATTGTTTTTATTTAATGGACAACGCCCTCTCAAATCACCTACTTTTTATGATAAGGGTTGAACTAAAGGTATCTCGAAATTCTGAAGTTGATGCTCGAAATTCTGAAGAAATTCATTTTGGAACGGTATTGTGTTGATTAACACTTTTGATGAATTGGTTAGTAGTGTTACTAATTTAATAAACTTCTACACTAGTACTATCCCTCAAAGAAGTTCAAAGCGAAAAAAATGAATGGATGATCATGGAAATTCTACGGGCAATTAAAATTCGTGATTCCTTCCAAAAGTATAAAAACAAATTTCCAAATGACCAACTTTCTGAAAATTACTGCAAAAATATAAAAATAGGGTCAAGTTTCTTGTTAAAAATGCAATACTTCTTTATTTTTCGACCAGGATTGTGCAAAGTGCTGTTAACGCCAACAAATTTTGGGACTTATATAAACGTATCATTTTTAACAGGGGTTTTCATAGGGATGGCCAGCTCTATGTGTTCCGCAAAGTTCATCAAAACTTTTACTGAGAAATAGGTTGTAGCCCTGATGAACTATAGAAACTTATCTTTGAAACAGTAACTTTTTCGAATTACCTGAAAAAATCAATAGTTACACCAATATTTAACGTCAGTGACGCTACAGGAATTATCGGCTCATTTCAATCTCAAGCGCTTTTTCAAAAATTTTTGAAAAAATAAAGTTTCTTAAATAGCAACAACATTTTACAACCGAAACAGTTTGGATTTGACACATGGCGGCAGCTTGTCGAGCTAATCACGAAGAGTATGGACAATGGGAAATACACGGCCTGTGTTTTTATTGATCTTCGTAAAGCCTTCAGTAGTCTCGATCATGGGAAAACTTTCGGTTCTTGGTTTCTCGGATAATCACAAGAACTATTTTAGGTCTTATTTGACAAGAAAATTACAATGCATAAAACCAGGATGCGTTCGCAGTTCTGAGGAGGTAACTAAAAAGGAGGAACCGCAAGGATCAATTATTGGGCCCGATCTATTCAAAATCTACATTAACGATGTTTCACGCTTGAACTTACGGGGTAATATTAAACTTTCTTCCAATGACTTAGCTATAGGTTATTCAGAACGAAGCGAGAATGAGCTCAGCAACATTATTTTAGACGAGGTAATAAAGATTGGCGTATGGTTGGCAAAGAATAGGATGTTAATGAACCTAACGAAGACCAAGATTCGATTTTTTGATAATAAAAAGATTGACAATACCATTTTAATTCACGGTGGTATTCAAATCGGTACAGCAGCAAGCTATAATTATCTGGGGTTGATAATTGATAGTAAAACTAGATGGCATGAACATATATATCACATTATTAAGAAAATAACGCCATATATCTTCGTTCTAAGGCGATTTAGAGTCTGTTGAATCACGAAGCAATGTTTTCAATTTACTTAGTCTACATTTTCTTCAATATTATATAGCTCAACCCTATATGGAGCGGGTCGTCCAGTCGAAAATGTTGAAGCTGGATATTCAGTAAAGGGGGCTATTACAAACATCCATAATTAACCTATCATCCACCCAACTGCGATGCTCTACTCAGATGAATATCGCAGTCTAGATTTTGTTTGCAGGAAAGAGCTTTACTATCTATATAATACGAGGAAAAAGCCTCATTTTTACTTAACTACGTTTAAGACCAATAAGCAAAAGAACAATTGCTTGTATAATAGCCTAAAGGCATTGAATAAGCTCCCTACATCGAAATCAAAAAAATCACTAGCATCAGTCTTTTTAAGAAATCTATTACTGAATTTGTCGACACACTGTAGGAAGTAATATTTTGATAATACGAAAAAAAAAAATATTTTTTCCTTTTTCTTTCTGTTCATTCTTCTCTTAATGCAGCGTATTAATTGTTTAGGAAATGGTATATATTAATTAAAATGTGTACGATATGTTAATTAGACGTTTTTCTGTGGGTATATAATGAGCTTAGTAAGCGTGGCTCTAACTTAAACACAAATTCATAAACACTATATTAGGTTGTGGTCCTAAAATATCACAATGAATTTTATGAGGAACTGCAGTATTTTATGTACACAATTACGGAGGAAAGGATAAGGTGGGAGTGGAAGGAATTTCACCAGCACTTCTGCATTCCCGAGTCCTGGCGGGTGGCTAGGGTTGTCTTTATACCCAAAGTGGGAAGAAGGGACATGGTGCCTAAGTCATTCAGACCGATTAGCCTCACATCGTTCTTATTGAAGACGATGGAGAAAATAATTGATAACCATGTCCGGGCGGGGGTGTTGGCGAGGAGGCCGCTGAGCGATTGCCGGCATGCGCTTCGGGCGGGGAGGTCGTCAGAGACCGCTTCCGCCTTGCTAGTATCCTAGAAAGCACAATAGAACAGGGAGAGGTGGCGCTATGCGCGTTCCTGGATATCGGATTCGGGCGCCCTGAGGCGTCCTGATGATTGCACCTCTCTATGGATGTCCAATATGTTGGCTACGAGAGTTTCAGAGACTGCTGTATGGCAGAGCACCCTAAGTATGCGCGTGGCCAGAGGATGCCCACAGGGTAGGTTTCTGTCCCCGCTAATGTGGAGTTTGGTGGTGGATGATGAGCCTTGATGAGCTGCTTCGTCAAGGAATTGGCGTCCAAGCTTATGCCGATGATATTGTCATCATCCCTAGAGGTAAGTTTGAGGGAACTCTTTGTTCCCAAAAAGAACCTGGAACGATTGCAGAGACTCACATGCGTCTGCATCACAGGAGCAATCACAACTTGCTCAATGGCGGCAATGGAGGTGATTTTGGAACTAACCCCATTGCATTATTTATTATTTATTATTTATTATTTATTATTTATTATTTATTATTTATTATTTATTATTTATTATTTATTATTTATTATTTATTATTTATTATTTATTATTTATTATTTATTATTTATTATTTATTATTTATTATTTATTATTTATTATTTATTATTTATTATTTATTATTTATTATTTATTATTATTATTTATTATTATTATTTATTATTATTTATTATTATTATTTATTATTATTATTTATTATTATTATTTATTACTATTATTTATTATAATTATTTATTATTATTATTTATTATTTATTATTTATTATTTATTATTTATTATTTATTATTTATTATCTATTATTTATTAAAATAAGATAAAAATTTTGAATTTGACGAACTGTATCTCGAACACTATGGCTTAAGTTAAATTAATTGCAAGACCAAAATTAAAGAACAATGAATCACCTGTTAAACAAGTTCCCCATGATTACTCTATATCACATGGTTCCGAAGTTATTAGCATTTGTTTATGTGCAGGAAAAGTCCGGTACCTTCCCCCCCCCCCCCCCCCCCAAATTCTTTCAGTGAATTCACTGAGAGAATTTGTCTAACAAAAATGTTAAAGATGGCGTTATATTAAGATGATTTCATTATTTAACTGACATAATAAATCGAATATGAGTAGCAATTTACGGTTTTTACCTGTATGAGTTCGTTGGTGAGCTTTCAAATGAGAACTTTTTGTGTAAACTTTCTTACAACCCAAAAATTGACATTTATGAATTCTTCTTTTTGCATCTAAATTTGGATCATACTGTTGCTGAAGTTTCGTTGCTACTGAAAATTACAAATAGAAATCATATTAAAAATTATTCTCAATATATGTATATTAATACTAAAATTAATTTAAACTTCCTCCACTAATTTATAATTAAAATGTTCTTAAAAATTTGTTAACACATTTTAAATAAAATTTTAATTAAAATATAAATTCATCTGAAACTTTTATGTTGACAATTTTATTTTAACCCAATTACCTAAAGAAGTGAATCACTATCATTCTGCATGCAATAAATTGATAGCTCATTAACCAGCATACCAAGATATCAAAAAACCTATTCATAGATACACTCAGTTTGTGTGGTAGTAAAATTAAGTTTTCCTAACCAAAGAATTGGCTATGGAAAATTGTATTACCAGTGTGTGGTTTGATCTCATAATCGGTAATTTTGCACATCCTGTATTTTGAAAACTATCAAATCAACGAAACTTCATGAATACATACATAATCTTAGCAAATCAACAAAAAAAGGGAATAACAATGATGTTTGAAATATTTTATTATAGGAATTGGCATAAAATAAAAAAATCTTAAAGACAATACAACGCTATTTTTAGACCTAATATTAATTGCAACACAATCACCACCAATAATGCAAAAAAGAGATACCATCAGGTTAACTATTTTATTATCATCTAAAATAGATGAAGTTTAATTTAGCCTTATCTTTTAATCACAAAATTATAAAATTAAGGAATTGAACAACTTCAACAAAATAACACGCATTCTGAAAGATAAAGTAAAATACAATAAAACCAAAGATAACAAAAGTACAATAAAACAAAGGAAAATTTCCTAAAAATGTACCTGAAAAAACATACAAGTTAATTTCGAACATAATGTTTTCCTACAAGTCCGAATCCGAATCCCCTGAAAAGTTAATTTCGTTAAAATGTAGAACTTAGATATTAAATTTCAAGAAATTCCACTTTCCGTAGATACGTTAAAAAATGTAAAATCAACCCCTCAGTTCGGTTTACAAAGCCTGATCTCTCAAACAATTTTGTAGGCTCATTCTTTTAACATCCCGATTCTAAATATTCAATTTCAAAGAAATTGGTTGATTATTTCTCTTTATATGCGCAAAAATGAAAAACCGACCCTCAATGAGGTCCAGTTCCCGAAGCTTAACACATCCCAAAAGTTGATCAATGCGTGTCATAGCAAAAATAAACTCTCATATAAAGTTTTATCTAAATCGAATTACCTAATCTTGAGATACAAACATGCACACACACACATCTCTGTAAAAATAGTTTATTTACGCTTCGCTACTATGGAGAAGTGTGTTTCTACCGAAAGCTCGATATGCAAAATGTTTTGCCATTACATAACCTTCCTTATTAAATGCAATGCGGTCGATAAAAAGCTAATAACCACATTAATTTGAAATTAAAAAATAGTAGCTATAAATGCATGTACAGTAAGGTTAAAATATATGGACATATATCGATATGTTTTAATAAATAACAAATTAAGTAAAAAATTTTATCTACAAGGTGCGTCAGCTATTTGAGGACATATTGACTAGAAAACAAAAATTTTAATATATCTTAAAAAGCTTATTTAATGGAAGTGAATCTTAGGCTACACATTTATTCGATGAAGTGACCTTAAACAACAATAACAGCTTCAATTCTCTGCCGGAAACGTTGGCATTCCTGAATCAAATGATCTTCGTCCATATGGGTCATTACTCTGGTAATACTTGGCTTGAGGGAGTAAAGCGTGTTATGAGAATGCTTATTGGTCGCCCGCTCAACGACGCCCCATATTTAGTAATTTAAAGGATTAAAATTTGGGGAGTTGGGTTATATGATCATATGACATCCAGTCTTGTGTTTTCGTGGCTTTATGTAAAGGAGCAGAGTCCTGTTGGAATACGTGTGGCCTCTCACTACGTACGCTAACTATCCAAGATTTCACAACTGTATCCAAAAACTCAATGTAGGCCTCAGCATTCACCCGAAGTCCTTAACGAAAGAAGTGGGTAGCATTACATGTCCTTCGTTGCTTACCACTCCTAAAACCTTGACAGCTGCAGGAAACTTTGTGTGCATAACATGAGGAACAGCAAAAGGATCTGAACATAGCCATCTATCATTTCGCCTGTTTATTTTTTGATCCTGGTGAAAATTTTTTTCATGAGAATAAACTCAGAGCATATTAGTAACTTATGCTCTTTGACCGGTCTTCATTAATAATGTCCTACACTTTCTGTACAAACTGTGATGTTTCAGCTTTGTCTAAACGTACTTCATGCCTTTTGCGCTCGGCAACGCTTGCCACATTGTGGCAAACGATAGGACGAGATTGAAAAATTGTGAGATTTCAAGATCGTGGTGCTCTGCGTGTCGAGCGACGATAACAGCGTGTTTTTTCATTTCATGAGTTAACTTACTGTCCTCCACTTATGATTTGAAAAGAAAAAAATATGAAAATTAAGTTGCTGAGAAGTGGCGAGCACTTATATGCATATCCTCAAATAACGCATCCTGTATACAAATAAATATAAACTGTATAACTGCCATATAATAATCTTATTAGAAAAATCAATCTGAAATAAATCTACACTCAGATTTATTTTAATATAAATAAATTTTTCTTATTTTTTCGCACATAATATGCAACGCGCTTTAGATGAATAAAAGAGTAAATTGAAATATTCAAAATAATAAAAGGATGAACAAAAAACTTTATATTACACTTTCATCAATTACCATATTTTTTGTTTTTTTTTTATGTCAACAAAAGTATTCTGTGTAATATTCTAATTAATTAAATAAAAAACTTTACAACAAAAAAAGATTTTTAATATATCAGTGGCTTCATGCCCAAACGACTTAAGTCTGTTGTAGTGATTTCGAGATAAATGCATTTAAAACTTAAATTAAATTTTGAAAAAAGTTATGAAGTTTTTTGAACCAGTTTTTTTTTGATTAAAAAAGGAAGCGATTAACTCATAATCTTAAGTAAAACAACTAATAGTATTCTCATAATTATGAAAAGTGAGATATGCGGTTATACAAAATTTATAAAAAGCACTTTGCAAAGCATATCTCGACTTAGGCGATTTTAAGGCGTAAAAAATTACTTTTGCATTTGCGTCAAATTTAAGTCGACTTAAGCTGTTGTTGCAAAACTGAAGATATGGTTATAGGTGACTTAAGTTATATTGAAAAGGGGGAAAATATATATATTATTTGTACGTTATTTGATTTTTCACACTTTTTTTCAAATCATTGGAATGAAAAACATAAATTGAGGTAAAACATGAATAAACTTTAAGTAAAAATTATTTTTAAAAATTTAAAAATAATTGTTTCATTAAATTTAAGTAAGGTGACAGTATCTTTTATTCTCTCTCGGATTCTCTGACTAAATATGGGTGAGTATCTGCTAAATCTGCAGTCGTAATCGTTTTGTAAAATTTGTGAACCAAAGGATCAATAAATTGCATCAAGTACTCTAAGTTTTTCTTTTTTGGGACTAATTTTCTCTTCTTCTTCAATTCGGAGTATATCTTGAAAATCTAACTAGTTAACACCTCGTCTTAAAATATAAAAAGCGCTGTTTGTATAAACTGTTTTTGTAAAATATTTTTTGAAAGTCAATTTTTTAAAATCTGTGGAGTTGCTCTTTCCATTTAAGAGAGTTTCAAAAAGCATTTCAATTATAAAAAGACTTCATTATGCAACGGATCTGAGAAAGTTGTGCAAATAAATAAAATTGTATCATAAAGATATTTATATGTAGTATCTATTCGTTTTTATTTAAAACCCTTTTTTGGGAACAAGTTTCATCAAGGCATAGTGTAAAGCAGACCTTATACGCTTCGTGTTGTAAGTTATATTGTGTGTGACATTTATGTTCTCTGAAATTGCTGATATGTTGTATCTTGCATATTGTTTTTGTTTCAGATATCCCCATTAATGAAACCACATATACAGTTGAATGTTATTGAAAATCTTACATCTGTAGTTTTTACGACAAAAGAAACTTACTTGCCTTGTCAGTTTTCATATTCATTTCCCACGTTCCTATCGTTGAAAGCCCTTTCTCTTGAATATTTCTTTAATTTGTTTTGTTTTGAAACCGAATTTCTGTATTTTTTTGAACTCCTTTTTCTAATTTATTTTATTTCAATAAGCTCGTCATTTACGTCGAATCCTGAAGAATTCTAGTTAAGAATTGTTTAGAAATTTTAAAATCAGGATCATTAACACAGTCACCACAAGCGAAGTCAATTGAGGTTTTCAGAACTATATTAACTTCGGTTTTCAAAATAAGATCTGTTGATGCTTGTTTATTTAGTATAGGACCAGTACGCTAATTTCTATGATTTAAAACAACTTGAATCCGTTATGTTAGTTTCAAATATATTGCAATACCTCTAGCATCCGCTAGAATCATTTCAGCTCTCCTAGCAAGTTCCAAAATTTTTAACGGAAATGAGTAATAAAAAGTATAACAAATATTGTTATTCCCAGATGTACCAATTTTATTTATTAAAAACCCGTGTAAATTAGAATAATTTGAATTTCCTAACAAAATGTGTTTTACTAGTGTATAATAAAAGTATTGCTTTGTAATACAATAATTAAAATAAAAACTCTTGTTAAACACAAAAATTTGATCTTCCTAATAACATGTGTTTTATAAGGGTGTAATAGAACAACACTTTGTTTAATAACACAATTAGAACACAATGGCAAGACAATCATCCATCAGGTAGCTAACAATGTGTCATTTTTACATGGGAACTCCATCAATTGAAAAAAACATTTGTCGCAGGTAAATCACGAAATGACCTACAAGATTATTAGTTAAATAAAAGAATTCAAAACTTAAACATGGGATATTTGGGTAATTAGAGCATTAATAATGCAGGTAACTTCTGCTTATGTTTTATATTTTGTGTTAAAAAATACAACAATTTTACTTGTCGCTGAATGTTAGATTTAATTTTAACCATAGTGAACAAGTTTTAAATCAT